TTATGCATATTTTATAGTATTTTTGAGGTTAAGCTGTCATTTACCATTACAGACAATAATGATGATAGATAGTGTAATCTATACCAATTTAAGGGAGTTAACAAAATTATATGATAAACTGTTCAACTCTCTATTCAAGGAAGTGGCAAAATAAGCTATAATGAGGGATAGATATTATCATTCCTTCACAGATGAGTATATAAAGTATCATACGGTAGTTGACTAGTTGTACCAGCCATTCTTGGGCCTTTGACAAGCTTAAGGACTCATCACCTCAATTCCTTCCTCCTGACTTTTAATTCTCAATCTTTTTATATCTTTAAAATCTTATTTTAACAATGATGTTGGTCACTACATTCCCTACCTTCGGTTTTTTTTCTTGCTTATCATACCAATTCTGCCAACAGCTTGCCTGGAGTTCACTAAACTTTTTCCTCTATATGAGCTATCTTTTTAGTGTGTTGTAAAGTTTTGTGATCATAAGAAGCATGGCATTGCTCTTTCACTAATTAAACATTGATTATCTTGCAAAATATGGCTACAATACAGTCATACAATACATTGTCTGTGAAGGTACATAGCCACTATAGCTTACACTTCGGGCCTGACATGATTAAAGCTTATCTTGTCACACCCTCGGGAGTGACTAAGTTGAGGGAATAAAAATATCAGCTATTACTGGGAATAGAAATTCACATACATGTAGTATGGCCCTACATTAGTTATCATATGATATCTATTTGAGGGAGTAGCTACAAGAGAGGTCATATGGGAGGGAAAATTGTTTTGAGGTACAGCTGGTACAACTTTTTGTGGGCCACAAATAATTATATCAAGTTGTACCAGCTGTACTATAGGTCAGTCAAATTCACAAGCAGGCTATACCTACCTCAAAAACAATTTCCCCTTCCCCCATGACCTCTCTAATAATAATAAATAATACTGAAATCTCTTTACCTACAAACTATTCTAGAGTGTAGCAAATGATAAACCGTCATAAGAAAGGACAAAAATAATGCACTATTAAGATGTTATTTTACCATTAAGCCTGGTTTCTATATAGCCACACAACAGCCTTACAACATTGTTGCAACAATCTTGGGGACAATCTTATCAGAGGGAGTAGCTTATTGGGGGGAGTACAAATAGTTGTGTTATCAGGTTTTCCTCCCTATACAGCCTGTACTATAGTATAGTACAGGCTGTATAGGGAGGAAAACCTGATAACAGAACTATTTGTAAATGAGGTCATCTATCTTTCACAAACTCAAGCACAACATCATCATCATATACCTCATACCTTCTCCTGATCTCTCTCTTTGTATTAAAGTTTAAATCTCACATTAAATCTTATTTTAAACAATGACAACCCTACGCAAAGTGTGGCACCCATGCTTTGCATAAGGGAGGACTAGGTAACTACTGTTGTCTGTCAGTCCTTCATTATTCTGTGAACTACTTCATTTTTACAGGTTGTTGTTGCAGCAGTATCAAATATTATTCCCTCCATGGGTACTAATCGTTTTAAAGTGATAAGCATGGCTGTAACAAGTAGAACAGGCAGACCTTGATTGATGCTATGAGAGAGACAGGAGACCATGCAGATCAAAACATTACTTTTAAATTGAAATATAAAACTATCAAGCCGGCTTAATTGGTTGACATATTTGGACTATTGTCAATCAGTTTATCTTAAGTCACTTAAACAATTGTATTTGTGCAATCATTTAAGTTATAGAAATGAGGTGTATGTATATACCAGAAAATGACATTAAAACAACACAGAAAGTTAAGTTTTGATAGTAATTGGGTAACAGCTTTATCTAAGTAAATCACATCAGTTCCACAGTTAAAGCAAGCCAATGTTTGGCACTATTTGTCAATCAATTTCACTTAAGTCACTCAAATAATTATATTTGTAATTTGCATATAATTATTTAAATTATAGCAGATAATGAGACATAAATTTATATGTGAAAACATACTATAAAGACTATGATGAACTTTTGAGCAGACATTAAAAATAACACAGGAAGTTTTGATAGCAATTATAATATAGGTAGCTAAAAGACTATTGCACTCTTAGTTCAATACTATCAGAGCTTCAATCCAAATTTTTGCTGTTCTTTTTTAAACTGATTTAGCTACATGGCAGATAGTAAGTTTTGACTATTATAGCTGTTCTATTTCTAAATGAAAGAAGGAAGGTGCAAGTTTTATATGTATAGTTTATATGATTGTAGTTTAACTTTAGATACAAGTACAAGCAAAATATTTCTCTCTCTGTAGCTGAACACTCAGAAAGATTTAGAGAATTCTCTGATAAACTGGAAAGAGCTATTACTCCTTCCTTGAAAAATGTAGCAAGCAAGCTTAGTGCTAAAGGTCTCATAGCACATAGTACAAAAATGGAAGCAACAAGTAGCACTGATGCTCGAGGGACAGCCACAAAGATAGTAGATGAGTTACAAGAAGCTCTTGATGAACATGATGATCCTGAATCATTTGTAAATGAAGTGTGTACAGCATTAAGAAATGTTAGAGAGAAACGAATCACTGATGTAGTAGACAAATTACAATTGGGTAAGCTAAAGTAATTTTTATGCAATACACTGAGTTTACAAGAGTCAATGGAAAATGCAACATTTTATATGAAATAAAGCAACATGTGC